GCGGCAATGGCTTCTCACACATCTAAAATTTCTGTTTCGTGGAATTGGCTAAATTGCTTGTTGGCAATTAACAAGCTTGATAACCAGCCCAGGCCATCAGCTCAAGACACAATTTGCTCTGTTCTTGGTGCCATTCGCATGTACATGAGTCATAAATACATTGTGGATAGGGCTGTATTGGTGTTGATTCGTATAAACCAAAAGCTTCCACATCAGGTCGTCATACACATTGATGCTGCTGAAATATTACTGGCCTGTCTGAAAAAATATGCCAACGATGAATCAATAGTCACGAGCTGTGTGAAGCTAGTAAGATGCTTGGATCCTGGCCCTGCCTCATTATTCAAATGCTCAAGTCAGCTAATAACAGCGGAGACTGCTACTCTGATCCTGCGAGTGTGTAAGACATTCCCAGCAAATGCTTTAATCTCTGATTGGTGCTCGAAGCTGGTGCACCACCTGGTTCTGTCCTTCCAACTGCAACCCAATTCAGAACAATTAATTATCGGGGTTGCACTGCAAACACAAAGCGAGCTGTTGACGACCATTGTTCCTATCGCATTTGATCTATTGAATCATCGTTTAATCCAGGAAAATAATCAATTGCTAGAATCTCTTTTAGTGTTTCTCAGACGTCTTACAACAGACGAACAAATGCGGGATGCTGCTGAAAAACTACAGATGGTTCAGGAATTGCAGCAGACTATAAATCGTATAAGACACAGTAATTTCAGTGTAGTGTTGATAGAACTGGCTGTCGATAGCATCTTCAATCTGGCTTGCTCAGATCGAAGGATTGATCAAGGGTGGAAGGAAATATTGCTGTGGCTTGTAGACCTGGCTGAGTGTATTCACAACATCGCAGCGAACAGAGACGGAGCTTGCATGGAGAAGCTCATTAGTTTACTGAAAAAACTTGTTATTGACAATGCAAACAGCAAACTTATTTCACCCAAGGAGTCGTCCACCCTTTTAAAGCTGTTGTCACACATGGGTGTAAACTATTCGATGGAGCGAACTCTCTATGGATTACTTTGTGCATTGTGTAAGGACGTCGCATGTGCCCAAGTTTTGGTAGTTTATGACGCCATTCCAATCACTGCAGAACGAATCATCTGTCACGTTAGAGACATCGAAACCTTATTGAGCAGCTTATCGTTTCTCAACATTTTGTTCGTGAATTGCGGTGCGACTTATTCTGCGTTGCTAGATGAAAGCGTGTTTGAAGCATTGGACCTGGTTATCCAAACATATCCGGAAAGATCAGGAAGTCAAATTTATAGCATTGCCAGCGCCACACTTGACAAGCTGACACCATCACATCACAACTCGACACACACAATGTCTTCCAATGAGTTGAAGTCATTAACCCGAATTTCCGACTCGGATAAACCATTCTACGATTTGCTTTGCAAAGGGGCGAAGTTTCGAGTGCTCTGGGAAGCCAGACCCAGGATAGTTGAAACCATTCGGATACAGTTAGCAACAAATGCACATTATCTCCTTTTTCAGCGAAAATTACCGGGTCAACTAACCGAAGTTGAGCGCATATTCGTGAGTCAGCTCTTGGTGTGCCCGCAGCGTTCTCTCAACCCAGACAGCCCCACTTCGCTATTGAAGAAAAAATTTACTCAGTCATTGATGTATAAAAATTTTGAAGGAGGCCATGTACTACGCTTACGAGTCCGTGATGAAAATGTCTTCATAAAGACCAAATGTATTCGCGAGAGAGTTCATTGGGATCAGGCACTTCAATGGCTTGTTTCACATCGAATGACCACGTTGCCTATTCGCTTCCAAACTAAGCCCTCTTTTGAAACTTAATGCAAACAATTTTAGATCACAATCTAATTTTGCCGTGTTTGAGTACCTATCAGCCTATTATAGTTTCTTACTTGTCAGGCTTCATGGACCGTGGCCGTCGAGCTGAACCGTATAGCAATGCTACAATCTGGACTCGAGAGGTTGCCAGAAATCTAGCTGGCCACCTAACTAGAGTGTCCAAAGCTCATAGTTGCATTGACACAAGGTCTTCAAAATCGACACGTCTTCCTCGATTTCACCTCTCATATGAACAGAAAAGATCTGTGACGAACTCTATGAATAAATTACAACCTCTTGAAGAAGTAACTCGAAACCTACGTCTAATCGCCAACGATGAGCCGGAAAGTATTGGAAACGAAAGCTTGCATGAAGAAACAACGAATAAATCTGTAAATTTTGGTTTAGAAAACAATTGGCGACACAAGCATCTAGCATACAAGCGCAACTTTGGTAATTTATGTCGAGTATGGAATAACCCTCACGATAATATCAATGCGGATAACTCTAGGCTCGCTCAGATACAACCAGTCGTACTCTCGGTAAAACGTTCAAACGGCAATGTAAATTCTAGCGGGGAGAGCTCAAATGAACCTCTACCAGCTCGAAATATCTCGAGACACCACACTCAGCCTGATTACCACAAACGACAAGAGCAACGGAAAATATGGAAAGAAAATCAGGTAGGCATATTATTGCTGGAGGACAAAGCTGTGTTTAACTTTTAAGCTCCGTGTACGTGCTCGAAGGCCCTAATCAAGCGTTTGCAAAGTACCAAAACAACATTTAATACTAAGGAATGGGAGAAGGATGACAAAAGGTCCCAAGAATTTCTTAAGAATCAGGAGAGAAGACGACAAGTGCTTCAACACGAATTGCGCAGAGCTCAAAAATCGCCGGAAGCGCTTTTGCGCTCTGAACCGCTCAAGAGTTATTGTTCCAACCATATCAAGACATGTTGTGTCACTTCTGCAATTGATGGATTCGGGGAACCGAGTGTTCAAGATTTGGGACACCGCAATTTAAACAGGAAAGTTCGGATAAAGAAGCGGGATATCATTAATAAAAAATTACAGCATGAAAGTACCGAGAAGAGCTGGCGAGTGCACGACCAAAAGTCGATGCTTCTACGTACGGGAAATGACGAAGAACTACATTCGGCCAAGGCAATCATCGCTGATGGAGAGGCAAGCGCCGTGCATACTGCTTTTGTACCGCAAACTGAAAACGAAAAGATGCGATTTGCATTGCTATGCGAAGAAAGTCGAAGCTTGAGCACGAATAGCTCGGAACAGAGTGATATGTTGGGCTTTGAAACCAGTAATCGGAATGTGATGGGTCTTTATGGAGCATTTTCACCTGGAGCTGAGTTAGAAGCAGTGTTGAATGCGGTTGAAGTGAGCGATAAAGACCTTCACAGCGGTCCACCAAGCACAGCGATTGCTGCAGAAATGGGGAATATGTGTGGCTTGAATCAATGCGAAAGTTGTATCACTGATTTTCTGAGTTGTGATTTAGCATTATCCGGTGGCGCTGAAACTGATAAAGTCTCGGCACCTGAGTCGCTGGAGCAAACACAAACACTGCCAGATAATCAAGAAAAGGAAGCAAGCTACAATGGTAATTACTTCGATAACGATCGTATTCCATCTGCCAGAGCAACGGAAAGAAAGCAGAATAAGCACGAAATAAACGGAGCACCAAGACCGGACAATGAAGCTGATGTAAAGAACGAGGATGAAGCCCATAAAAAATATAAATATAGGGATGAAAAAAGTGTGGAATACCAGGAAGAAAGCATGGACGATGAAGAGTACTCCCATGACGGTTTTGAGTAGGAAATTTGAAAATTAGTCCAGCGAGACTATTTGCTGTTGGCTATTGAAACTTAATTGTGACTGTGATGACAACGCCCACGTCCACGCGCTCGTCCACCAGCTCCGTTACGTCATCGGGGCGGCGACGCACGGAGCAATCACTTCATAATATTATCGATCTTATGACGTCGAGCACGCTTAAGCACTCACAAACGAGTGGCAACGGCGTTATTGCCCGCTCGAGGCAGCTGGACTTTAGTATCATCGACAGCGCTGTGGATGCAGAGGAGAAAGAACAGATAGATGGTAGGACTATCCACGATAGTTTACAGGTCAAATATGTGGAAGAAAAAGTGACCGAACAGGAGGGAAAGCATACGGATCGACCGGGAAGGTGAGTAATATGCATAAATGTTTATAAAACCTGTCAATACCTGACTACGACGATAGTGAACGGCTTGGCACTCTGTTTTGTAGTGCTGAAGAAGGAATCTGCTCGCAACTCGGAGTACACAAGCATGGCCCTGGCAAGTGGGAAAGGATTATTCTTGACAGCAAAAATGATTTCTCGAGTTACGGGACAGATGTGGATCTGAAGGTTTAGTATTTGTCACGTTCAGAGGCACATAAATTCGACACTTATGTGTAATGCAGGGTAAATGGGTGAACTTGACTACCATTTCGGGACAAAAGCGGCAAAAGACATCGACCGTTACGAAATCACTCATTAATTCTTTATGGGAGACCGATGCAGCTGAGTCATCGAAACACGCTCCGACCGCAGCCTGCCGACGTCCTGCTGATAAAATTGCGGGTATCAAGGCCCGTACTGTGATCGAGAAGAATAGCCGAGAAGGCGTTGCTGACTCAAAATTGCTTAGCACGAGTGATCCTGACCAAGTAGCGGGGTCTGTCACGCTAAAGATTGCCACTGATAAATCTTTTCCCGAGGTGCTTTTACTATCTAAGAGCATTTCGTTTTGGCTTTTTACTGATCTTTATCAACGATGCGCAGCTTATCGAAGTTGACGTGAACCTAGATATATGCAAGAATGTTGCTTCTTTTAAAAAGCAACTTTGGTCAAGCATTTTGTCAGACGCTCCACCTGATTTACATGCTCAACTAATCGGCCTCAAGTCCCGCGTTTTGCTGACAGACGATGAGCTTTTGACGCGATGCATCGCGGCAAATGGTGTAGAGTTTTTCCTTGTATTTGATGAAAACTTGTGTAATTAGGGTCATCATATTTTGCCTCTTGCTTTCCATAAATGTACACTAGAATTTCCATATTTATCGCATTTTGTGTGAAGTCTATTTTTTTTGCTATGACAATGTCATTACCATTGCGAAAATGTCTTCACCAAACATGCAGTGATGGCTTTTATTGTGGATGAATATGGGACAGCCTGACGTGTTGCTTTTTTGTCAAAAGCAGATGTCTACAAGAAAAAGTGTAAGAATCTTGTTTTGCGTTAATGTTCCTGTACAGGTTGGTTACGACTTGCTTCAGTTTTACAGAACGCTGAATAATAGTTATGTTGAAAAACTTCACTTATTGGGTCAGTGCAAAAAAACTTACATCTTAAGTGAATTAAATCATATGACTACCCTGTTCTCCAACTATGTGATTCCATAGCAAAGGAAGTCAGCTTATCCACGATCCATAAAAAGAATCCGTTTATGCTAGCGGACAATTCGTCTATAACAGAATCTTTATGCAAAGAAGACACAAACTCTGATCTACATGAAGGTGAGATTGTAATTAACTGAGTGATTTGTGGTTAAGGCTTTGGTATGCTATTTAACTCTCGAGAGTATAAAATCGACCGATTCCTTGACTGTGCTCCAAACGTTTTCGGCTTTGACTGTTGTCTGACACTTTCAGTCATCTACAACAGTGACTATTTGTATTCATTGAAATTACAACTCATGGCAGGCGTCGAGGAAGAAAGGCAATGTGAAAGGCCTCTGTTCCCGACCAGATACCGTAGGCTTTCACAGCGTACTCAAAGCTTCTTTACTTGCGGGAGCCACATCAGCTCCGCAGCTGCGGCCAGCATTACCAACATCATAGCCGACACTGTCGACGCCTGATATTAGTGGGACTAGACATCATCTGCAAATTATCAAGTCCTACAAATGACATAGTGTTAGCGTAGCTTTCTCTTCACCTTGCACCTGTGAATAGTCATCGTATATCTTCTACATATAAATGTATCAGCGAGTTGATACAAATTTAGACTTGGTAGGTGAGTATCTTTTTGTTTATCAGTGGCATTTCCAGCTTGTTTTCCATCATTTTTTCGATTATAAGGACAGCTCATAGGCAAACACGTTACGGTGATCACTTCGAGATGCCTCTAAAAACAGATACTATAAAAGTGCTGAGGACACAACCGTGCGCCAAGCTTTCGCAAATGGTTGAGCACGAATTAAGCAATGCGGCTCACGTATAGATAGATTCTATTCCTTTTGTTATCAGAACTGCTACCACCTCCTCAGCGACGCACTGATCTCTTCTTAAAATTGAATTATTCGCAGTAGGAAACACATGTCTTAAGTAAAGGATCAGCCGGAATTTGAAACCAAAACTCATCGAAAAGCTTAAGGGATTGAGCTATCACAAATTTTGTAGACGTTACGCAGTCTTTTCGAATCTTGAATATGGCAAATGTATAATCAGTAGTGCAGGTGTATATGTACAGTGGTGCCAATAATGATTCGAAGGATCAGAAGCTCGTTCAGCTACTGCGCTACACCTACATCTCGATAAGGCTAACACGCCAAGCACATATCAGTATCACTCTCCCTTCTTTACTCGATGAATAGGGATGACCCACTTTTACGTAGCACGGCTATTTGGCCGGTGGATTCACAAGAGCTATTATCAGTATGGGGACTAGTTGTGCCAAAAGCGTAATAAGCGCAGGCACTCCGAAGTACAGGTAGTGGAGTGAGACTCCGAGAGCAGTGAACGCTCGTGCGCTCAAATTTGCTAAATGATTATCAAGAAAGTCGAAATTCCCAGCTAAAATCTTGATCTAACCCTCAAAGTAGATAAAATAAATGACTTTCAGACCTTCGTTTCGGTACCATACGGCTGGTGGGTCCAGCTCTGCGTACTAGCAAGCGAGAACACTGAAAATAATGTTCCTTTAAGCGAGGTTTCGCTGCACCTAGAAGCACTAGCGGTCAATCCAACAACTAATACACGCTAAGACATTTTTTCAGAAGGAAAATATCATGTTACGTCGATCTATATGTCCTAAAACGTTGTCCAAACGCTATAAGATGTGCTGTAAAAAGCTTCAGAGTCGTCTCAATCACTTATCTGCAAATGCACGCCTAGCGCTGTGGAGGAAGCTGCGTTGTTAAGTATCAAAGCCTTCGGTTGCAAAGTCGGAGCAAATTTTTCTGTAAAACGAAAGGTTAAGGCAGCCAAGAGTTCCTTTGCTTTGGTAAGAGCAACATCTTGTTATACTCGAAACTGAACACTAACCTGCTGTAGGTTCGTAAATATAGCATGCTTATCCTATAAACTACTCTAGCGACAAAAATTTCGCCGTCAAAAATGACTCACTTCGAACGGTCAAATTCTGAAGCCACCATAAACTGTGAAAAGATGTAGGGACTATGCTAAAGATTGAGAGCGCTTGTTACCAGAAATGATGGTGTACCCTCTTACAGAAAAAGTAATGGCTGACGTGGTTTACGAATAGGTGCGGAACGCAACGAAACTTATTGTGCCCACCAACTTTTTTGAGAAAGCGGTGAGGTATCCAAGGAGTTTTTTGGCCAGAGTGAATCTATGAGTCACGACCTGTCTCTTGCGGCCTAGCCGAGAGTCATAATGCAGAACAATGCTTCAAGGATGGAACGCCGGCTACCGTCTACCTTTCGTCTGCACGAGTTGTGCACTTTGTGCCCGTTTTCTACGGCGGTAAGAGTTATGACATTCACCACGGAGCTCATGACGATGGTTAGCTTGTTACTATGCTCTGGACTTGGAACAGCAAACCAAACTTGCCTGTTTGCAGACCGTATCACTACAGAAGCACATGGAAATTTGATCGAGTGCAAATATAATATATTTAGTCAGAATCTACCCGCAGTGATATTACACGCTTGTATGCAAACATTTAGCTCAGCTTTGCGAGCAACCCGCGCTCGAAAGTATCTTAAGGAAATCTAAATTCACCACTCCACTGGAATACCGTTTGTCGCTGGTACTAAGCGGTTAGATAAATACGTACCTACCCAAGGAACCTGTATCTGGCACTTGACGTTGGCGCAGCTGAAAGAAATATCTAACATTATTCGGGTGCTGAGTAAAAAAAAAACGTCGTCTCACCCGCTTACCGTCTTTAAAGGCTACATTCATTGCAGCAGAAGTCCGAGTAGAGCGTCCTTTAATGCTGCACATTGGTAACACAACAGCACAACTTGTACGTTTAGATCTACAACCCTGCTCATGTCTATGAGACTCTGGGTACTACCTACAAGATCTAAAATCGGTTAGTATTTGCTACCGTGAAGCACATTTCGCTGCATGACCATGGGAAGGTAAGACGGAAAATGTGCCGCAAGCGGTAGCATCGCCAGGGCATTCGTGTCAAAGTTAGATACTAAACTCAATGATCTTTTAAAATGCAGATATGTTATCTACGTCGTAAGATTGTGATGGCAGCCCTGGTGACCTTTCTTGGGAGCTCCTTGCTAATCATGCAGGACTGGTGGAAAACGTCATTTTTGTGGCTAGCTGTCGTGCATTCTCTCAGCACATGGATTTTTTTTCAATAGTCTCGACGTGCATGCAATAATGATTTGGCCATCTTTTGATTGTTATGTCTAAGCTATTCAATTTCTGCCTTGAGTTGCTCTCCTGCTTTATACTATATATATGAATATACACAATTTCTGATTCGTTAGACGGCAATACATGGTGCTGAGTCCAATTACTCTTCCTTTTTAATGATGCTGGTATTTGCGCCTTGCCCAGTTCTATGTTCATGTGGCCCTCGTTGTAGGCTACCACCACACATCATCGCATCTTAGGTTGGTGGTAATACATCAGGGCTTCGGAAGCAACCAATCGCTACAACAATGCAACATCGACCTCATACGATACTTTCCTTCCAATGCCTTCAGCAGTGCAACACTTAATACATCCGGCCTGGACGCCGCACGCCGTGAAAGCGCGTCACGATATGATGGCCGGACTTTCAATTTACCTCGGTGATATTTTTGATCGAGAATGATCTTCCAACGAGAGTGGTAAGACGACGAAGGTGCGTTGCAACGACGCGTGACCGGCATAGATCACGAATAATTTGAAGCCATGCAGACGTACCCTGAACTTGGTAAGAACATGCTTCAAAGCGATCCGCTTCTTAGTCAAATCGCTTTGCGCCAGACGAAAAATTGATTTATCGCTTACACTTCTGTCATCAATTTGGCTCGCATCCCCTTGAGTACTGACTTTGTACGATGTCCGCCTCTTTGAGTGCACTCATGTCCATTGGTATTGGACCGACACTTTTGCCGGCTTTGGAGTTGGACCATACAACAACATGCTTTTGGCTATAGTCTGCTAAAAGTGCGGTCAGATTATTTCCTTCAGCGATGAGCGAAATCGGCATTGAACTTCTTCACAAGATATCTGTGAGCATTGCCACATGATGTTTTCAGACTGATTTGCGATACAGACTACAAGTTATACCATAAGCATGCAGATTAAATTAGCGCAATGGGTTCGTTTGTGTTTTCTCGACTCTAGGCTTGAATTGGCAAGACGAATAGTCTCTCACAGTCGCCGATAATCTTGCATTAAGTAAGCTTTGCCTTAACGAGTCCGCGTTTACGCACGCAGGACAATTTCGTATATTCCACACATCAGCAAAAACGAGAGTCTTTATGAAAATAACACTAAGATTGTTGTGCCATTCCATTAATCAACTGCACTTTACTCAAGGAGCCCTGAGTGCTCTAGCAGGCGACAATGAGGTCAAACTGTTGCCTGAACAGGGGCCATTGGCGTGTTACGCAGTATTTGGTTCCGCAACCAGGTCGATCTCAAGACGCACACCTCGGTCCGGAGGCACGACCGACGACGGGTCTTTGAAGATGACGTCTTGAAATTCCTTTACCAAAGAATAGTACGGTAACGAGGGATTCTTCAGGATCAAAGATCCACTTCGTGCGGTCAGCACCTTATCTGTGTCCTCCGGAACAGTTTCATCCAGAAGTGACGACGAGTTGATCTCCTCTTGGTCGTATAATGACCACTTCAGCTGAGAAGTCTAGCTCAAGAAGATCATCTACTGCAGGAATAGCCTCGAGGGTGACGTAGCAGTCTTCATCTCCCGTCATACCGTTGACGAGGGTGTATAGCTGTGCGCGATCGGCTACGATAGACACACCCTGAGTCAGGGTCGATGCCCTGCGTCTTTCAGATTATATACGGCGGCGCCATTGCCTCTCCCCGGAGATTTTGTGCGTCGTCGAGACCGGTCGGATAACGCACTTAGCGTCATCCAGTGCCCCCACTTCCAGCTTCATCGGAGCCTTGATGTTATTCACAACATCCGACGACGTGGTGTTAGTTCCGCAGTCTTCGTCCATTGGGATAACGTGTCACTCCACGCGCATAAAAAGGGCCTTGCTCAGGATGCCTCGGACCTCGTCCGACCATGCCATTCTCGGCACACAGCAACTGCTTCGTAATGTGAGCAGAGCTCATTAGGCTACGTGCCACTCCACGTGCATCACTGGGGCCTCGCCCTCGATACTTCAGACAGTGACACAATCCCCGTCGCTACTCGAGCAGTGACGATGTCACTCAACCGCGCTTTCCGCGCGTCAGCATACAGCTGACTTCTTTCAATCCTGGAGCGTCGAACATAATTGTCCGACGCCCCGGAATCGATCAGGATCGTCCATGGGTTCTCAAAGCTCTCGACGGTCGTATTTACGACCAGCAAGCCCGACTTGCATACACGTTCCGTGTTCAGGAGCACGGAGCTCTTCGAGGCTGGGTTCTGCTGCCCAATATCTGTTTGACGCTCAACAGAACTCACTTCTTCCCCAGTAAGGCGCCCGCGCCTTGGGTGCTTTTGTTTTTCCGGTTCAAACCAGACTGGTGAGAAGCGAGACGTCGGTTCGATAAATCTTGACACGCCTTGCGCAGGGAACAGCTAGTCCAACGGTGACGGGTGTCTTCACAGACAAAAAATCGTCGGATGTTCAAACGTTGTTCGGCAGCTCGGCGCTCTCCCTCATAGCTGAGATGCATTGACTCAGTCCCGCTCGACGAGCTCTGAGGGTGTGCATTCCAACCAAGTCGAGCCGACTTAAAGACATTTTTGGCATTCAATGCCACATTCGACGTTAGAAGATTCCGGCCACGCCAATGCGGCAGCCCTTCGTAAAGACGGTCACTGTGACAGCCTCGGGGAGAAGATCGGCTGCAATCCCCCACAATGAGAGCTCGCAACTTTTGGACAAAGGTTTAAATCTCTTGTTGCTCTGTCGGGCGGCAAGGAAACGCGATCGCACGCGATATGGCTGGTTAGGCAGCGGGAACACTCGTAACAGCTGCAATATCAGCTCCGTCTAGTAGGAAACGCTGCTTCAACCGAAGTGCCGCAGGTCAGTGCCTATTCTCGTGCTCGACTCCCGAGCTTGAAGATAATTAGCGCCATTGGTTGCTGCTAGTTCTGGAGCATGGCAGATGCCATAGCCATATCAGCCTCTCTCACCCAGAGCAGAAAATTTTCTCCGTCTTTACCTCGAAGGTCTGAACGCTCACCATGAGCGGCCTAGATCAGGAGAAGTCATCCGTCGCCGACCATGGCGTCATGGACGCAGTCGAAGCCGACATCTTCCACCGAGGGTGCTCTAGTTGAGCATTTCATAACTTGAAAACGCCTCTGGGCGCGCACATATCGCCTCAGGTCCTTGCGAAGCAAAGTGTTACACGCCCTCAGGGCCAAGCAAGGACATCAACTTCTTAAGCCCTTCTTGCATGCCCTGGGGCAAATAGGAGAATCACTTCATCCTCACATAGGATCAGTCCTAACGACCCACGTGTAGATTGACTACGACTGTTACAAAGTGCAGCGGTGCTGCCGTAGCTTTTGCTTAAAGGGAAGATAACATAAGGTCACCGACCTTACGTATTAAATTAGAACCGGGATGAGTGTAGCGGATCGCCTTCAAGAGTACCCTCAACCATAACTCAAGGCAAATATACCCTTACAAATTCCAAACTGTGTGTATCAGTTTTATTTGCGGCAAAGCCACCTATATCTATATCTCTAGGATTTCCTAATTAGAAGTTATACCTAATTAATATGCATAACTCGTTGCAGCTTGGGTACCGAATATGTAGTGATAGCACAATACATATAATACGCAATTCTTGACACGCAAGTTATAGTTATGCTTTGGTTGCTTCTACAATATCAGTTCCGGCAACATAGGGAGCTTGACTTACCTACAAGAAGTGACCCGCACACACTATAGAGATTTCTTTAATAGAGACCAGTATACACAGATTCCAGTAGGAGTTACTGAAAAATTCGTCGGAGTTTGAGCACATTTATATATGTACTTCTAACGCTCATGTCGATGGTAAATCGATATGCTGTGCTACAATTCGACGGTCCGAATTAACAAAACAAAGTACGTTAACTCAGTACTTAATATGTGTGAGAGACAGAGCAGGCGGCTACTTGACTCACACTCGTCATCGCCATTGTCCCATCCACCAATCGTATGTGTCCACGTGTATACCATTGGCCTTCCAATATTTATAAATAATGTTCTAAACTTTATTCACACTCGTAACTCAAGCGATCAGCTTACTTTCTTGATACCGATGTTCACACAGATGTTTTTTTAGTGAAATCATCAAATTTTCATTATGATGTCGTTAGAAATGCAAGAAGCGAGTGATACTGCAATACATTGCAAGAAAACTTCTTGAACTCGTTAGTGAATCGACACTTGGTAAAAATATCAAGCCGTACCGGTCATTATTTGGTTTGCACATGCTCTACGCCAACTTCCGATAAACATTTGTCTACTCTTAGAATTTTCTTGTGCCTCTTTCTATTGGGCAAAATTCTATTCTATCAATTTTTTAGTGCAAAACCGCCGGCTCTATTGGCCCAAGTGCTATGATGTGGCGTACCTCGCATCAGCTGTTGTTGAGTCGCACCGTCCTCACGGAGAAGCAGCGCACAGCGGTATTAGCTGAGAAGCCGCAGCGAGTTGTAAGGACCTCCTCACTTTTGCTACGTCCATACGGCAAGAAGACGTGTTTATTGAAAAGTTTGACAGAGCCGAGATGACAGGTGATGGCGGCATACTTCTGCCGCACAACGTTTTCGCAAAGCTGCCGTCGTACAATCCTTTTGTTGGCACCTTCCATCACGCTCCAAGGTGTGTCCTTCTTGTTTAGAGCTGTATTATATTGTTAAGATTGGTAAATAAATTTTTATGCTCGTGAAGCGCTGGTAATCGCGGCGCCGTCTACTTCTCGAGCGACATCGTCGACATGGCGGAGCTTGAGGAGCGCAAAAAGTTTCGCCACCATCCGCTTACTGGAATTTTTCACTCGCTCCCTGGATACTATGACCCTTTGCACAAGCTGGCGTCCTGTCGTCGTGTCATGACGGCAGAGGGAATCTACTCCGACACCGAGTCTCTACGCTCCTTCGTAGCGATGGACATCACGGATAGCGAGGACTTTGCGTCTCTTCAGCAGCCGTCACACATGAGTCGTATGTACAGTGACTCAAGGTGCACGTCTAACAATGAACTTCTGACGCGGCCTCGTCGCTTTAGTGACGGAGACGCTGACCCGTTTTTTAATGGCAACAAAGGTGGCTCCCCCGTAAACAAAATGGATGAATATCACGATGATTCTACAGACAGTGATGTGAGTGATGAGCTTGTCGCTTTGGAACGTCAAGTAGCGCCTCGTTCTCTGCCACTCAATATTCTTTCAGTAACCAGCAAATTCGATGTTCCGCCTCCTGTTGGCAGCTTGCCACCTCGACGTACGCCGTACAAAAAGTTGAGGATGTCCTCTATTTCCTCTTCCGCAAGCGCTGATTGTGAAGCTGTAATGACAGGGAGAATGTTTGATGCATCGAAGTTCGAGCGCGCAGAGCTCGGTAAATCAGCAGGTTGTGCAGAAATGACAGATGGGTTCATTTCGACGGGTAAAGGAATTTTTAGGAAAGTTGGTTTTCGGCCGTTGCTACATGAGCAGCCGACTAGTAGTGCCAAGAATACGCTCAGATCTTCAACAAAGTTAAGAATTCAACGCTCTGTGAGTGAGGGAAGCTCGAATGATGATACTTACGACGAATATACTCAGGCAGCACCTCGCATCCCAGCAAATCCATTCGTGGCTAGACGTCTAAACGACGGCGATGAGCTGCGGATTATGGCAATACACCGCACTGGTTGTCGCGACTCTATGGCGCTCAAGGACGACCATAGTGGAAGTGACAGCGAGGATGACTCGAATCATCCAAAGCCGTATTTCATACATGAAAAGGCTGTGACGGAGCAGTATGAATTGGTTGGCAAAGACCAGCTGGGAGATGGCTCTTACGCTGTGGTAAAGCCTGCAATTCGTCGTGTAAACGGAAAAGAGGTCGCTATCAAGCAGATTCACAAGCGATACTTGCGCGATGAGGCTGCCAAGAATGCAGTGAGTCGTGAGATTGAGATCCATTTGCGCTTGCGTCACAAACACATTGTACGTCTATATGAGGTCTACGAGACTTCCGATTTCCTGTATCTGGTTATGGCAAAAGCAACGAAAGGAAATTTGATGTCGTTGATGCAGAGGAAGCGTTTGCTACCTGAAGCACTTTGTGGAAAGTTATCGCAACAAATTGTTCGTGCTGTGCTATTTCTGCATGATATGGGTGTGCTTCACTGCGATTTAAAGCCTGACAATATTTTGCTCAGTGATGCCAAGATGGCAAATCAAGAACCAGGCGACATTTCTCCAAATATGCGCCGTAACTCCCCTCCGAAGTCAAATATGGATCCTCATGCTGACGTCAAGGTTAACGATTATCATGTAGAACTGTGCGACTTTGGGCTGTCTGTGAAAGTGCCGGATGTTCGTTTTTTCAAGCTTACTGGTGACGTTCACAAGGTTCCTTTCACGGGAGTCACTGGAACCGCTGGCTACATTGCCCCTGAATTGCTGCTGCAACAGTCGTACGGCAAACCAGTGGATATGTGGTCTGTAGGTATAATTATCTTTGAAATGCTGACCGGATACAAACCATTTTATCCGCCGCACACTTGCATCCAGGAAGACGCAAATTTCTCAGACCGAGTGTGGAAGACAATAAGCACTGATGCTAAGGACTTGGTTCAGCGTCTTCTCGAGCGAGATCCAGCTAAGCGGCTAACGGCTGCAGAAGCTCTTGCACACTCTTGGTTTGAGTCAGCCATGTTCGCGATTTAGATTAAATGAGTAACACATTTTGGTGAATAACACATGCAAAAAATATCTATGCCAAAAGAAAGCAACGAACTTGATTTACAGTAGACTGAGTGGTTGTTAAATTAATATTTCACATACATGTCGAATCAATGCCTGATACGAGAAATATATTTCTGCTACTTTTTACTGCAGGTTAATACTACTTTTCGCGTTAGCTGGACTTGGGTTCTTAATACTTTTGCTATCAGCCCACTTGAAAAAATCGCACCTCGCATCAGGATTTTTTTTCTCACCCTATGAAGAAAGCGGACAATCTCAGCTAAAAAAGTAAAATTTGCATAGGTGTAAATGTCTAGAATAAATTACGTCAACTTACCACTGGTTTGGTGCAGACATAAAACTTACGACCGCGATTATCATTTGCTTTTATAACTGATCGAAGCACAGTCGGTTGACCGCATTTGCACAATGGTACTTGAGGAGGTCGACCATTTAGCACATTTGCCCATTCTTCCTTCGGTTTCTCAAATGCCGCCTTCTTCGAAATTCGTACTACCTCACAATAATTCGCAGCCAAATTTTCTCTCCAGCATTCCTTGCGCTTTGCAGAAGATTTATTTTTGCTTCCTGTATGACTCAAAAACGAAGTTATAAATTGCTGACCACGATTAGTCCTTTTCGGGTTCAAATAACCAGCTAGGGGGCGCAATTGACCTTCAGAGTCATTCATATTGTGACCCCGAACGACAAAAGATCTGATACTTTGTTGTGTTCCTGAAAACTCTACAAAATGTTTAGCGCACAGTGCTGCAGTTTTTCTATCATTGTAAGTCCTTGAGTCAGCTTTTAAGTCCACTGTGCACGACATTATCACTGGACAATGATCGGACCCAAGACGCTCTACATCAATACTATGATTACACAGAATATGGGAATGGATATCATTGCTAAGATGTAATGTTGTCAGTGACATACCTGCATGATGTTACAAAATTAAGAAACGCTACATCTGTTAATATATAGTCGATTCGGCTTCCATAGTTTGTTTGGCGTGCTCGTGTTTGCGTGTTCCAGCACTTACGTCGAGCAATGCTTGTTAGCGCTTTAAAAATCTTCTCAAGAACATGTAACCGTATAAGACCCGCGTACCGTAAAAGCCTTAGTCTTGTGAGGATGAAAATACCGAAAGGTATCAACTAGCTTATGCGAGCAACCTCCATCAACAGTTGTGTCGCTACCTGGCTCTGAGGGTAACACTTCCTGCCGCTCATTTGGTACCGCAACAAAAGAGTCCATCCACTTTCTACATGGATGGTCGCTGAAGGCTAGGCCGCTGGCTTGATGTGCGTGTGGTTCGCAATGATCGATATCTCGGTGGGCAATGTTGATATCACCCTAAATGTAGCAACAGAAAAGTAAGTTTGTTGCACTTGCAACAATAGCCTGTGCGGTTTCATACCACGACAATAACGTGCTTGTTGGCTGCTCGTAAAGACATAACTCGGTCTTGCAGCAGTGCATGAAAGTGGAGCTTATAATCGAGACGATCTGCGGATGCAAGTGCTGGGCAATACGTATTGAGCAGTACAAAAGCCTGGTGGTCGGTGATGACACACCGCCCCTCAGCCTCTAGATTTTTGACTAATCCTGATGGAAGCTAGCAAACGTAGCAACCAGCGCCGCACATATTCAATGATAACGCACTCATAATTGACGAATCAATGTTGACGATTACCTCGTTGTGCAGCGATCCGACATGCCCAACACTGTCCTTAGTCTGCCAAAGTCCTGTAAGGCCTTCATCAGCAGCTACTGTAGGCAATGTGCTTCTAACAAAGGTGACTACGCCCGAGTATCCCCCACGATATCGGCAAAAGGAGTAGAATGCATCAAATCCTGGCATAAACCGAATATGTTAAGTTCCAAGTACAGATTAGCGCAACAGAATTCGTGTACTCACCCGGTGGCCGCACATGCTCCTCATTCAATTCCGAGCGCGTCAGCTTCGTTTCTTGCAAACAAATAATGTCCGCATTAAGATCCGACAGAAATTCAGGTAAAGTCTGCTTTAGACGCTGTAGCACTGCACGTAGCCCGTTGACGTTCCAGGTTACAAGTCTTAATTGCTTCATCTTTTTGGTATGGCACTTCACAATTTGAGCTAGGTCGACTATTTGATCATCATAAAATTATAAAGTTCTGTTTTTTAAAATACATACAGATTGAGATTTGGAAGGTCAATGAGCCTCGACGTCTCAGCTGTCCGCGCAGCCTTTGCGGCTTGTAATTTGGACCTAGAAGACGATGCAGCAAGCACATGTGTTTCTATCTGTGCAGAGTTTAATATGAGCTGCGACGACATGGCAGCACAATGGGACGCATACTCGATGAACCAGCAGCTTTCTGGCGCCGCTGACACCGAAAATCTCGTGGCCTTTCGCTCACATCTCAAGCAGCTGCAACAGAACATATCCCATGAGCTGACACCTAATGTATCTGCACCAAAACGACGACACACAAAGACGCCCGTTGTCAAACGCGAGTCAAATAGTCAGGATAAGCTTGAGTCGCTTTACAGTATAAAATCACCCGAGGGCAAGCATGCGCGCTCCTTTACTAGTCCTACTGGAATCAGCAAAGTTCAGCGAAAGGAAGGCGTCTTTTCGCCTTCTTCCATGCAGTCACCACCAGGCAGCAGCTACGAGAAGCGCATAGATGCCGGCAAAACAGTTTATGAGTTTAACGAACATTTAAAAAAGAAGATTGAAGGATTGAAAGCTAATTTGGGAAAACCAGTCGAGGTTATGGTGCCATATCCATCACGTAATCTTTTGCCAAATGCCCCATACATGTATACGCCTCTCTTTCGTCGAGCTATTGCGCTGGATGAGCAACTTGTCGAGTATGAAATGGAAGTGAAAAAAAAAGTTGATCTAGAAGAGCTAAAGCCGGTTGGAGACCCGTCGCCGGCACAAGTGACGGTGGTTGGACGAATTGTGTGTGAAGCAGCAGAGGGTAAACTGAATCCAAGCGTTGTGCAAATTGAGGGGTCTAGAAAAACCTGTGGAGGCCAACGTGTGCTCCTCGACCTGAATGGAGTGTCTAATTTCCAGATCTTTCCTGGCAAGGTTTGTCAATGCTTTTTAAGTTTCTGGGATAAATCGTTAACATGGGTCTTGTGTCAGTGTAGATTGTCGCTTTGGAAGGTGTCTTATCGGATGTTCGGTCTCCGATGGTAGTGAAAAGATTCCTTGAGGTGTGGTTAATTGCCGGTAATGATACAGCAAATTGGTCATTATCTCACTGTAAAAAGCTCTGTATGGTATCAGCCAATTCTAGCACCAGCAGCTACGTCTTTACCAGCACGTATAAAAAAGCTACAAATTGAGCACGAAGAACCTATCCGTGTGCTGACTGCTTGTGGTCCTTTTACGACCACGAGCAATGTGGACTACTTGCCTTTGAACGATTTACTACAGGTCGTGATGGACCAAAAGCCAGACGTGCTTATCCTGGTAAGACAGTTGGTTGCAGATTTGTCAAAGACGAATATCACCAACTACTTTGTTTCGCGCTAATAGCTCGGCCCTTTCATCGACACGAATCACTCGATGTTCCAAGACGGACTGGTTAAGTACGATGACATGATGCTTAGCTTTGAAGAGATTTTTCTATTTAAAGGTAAAGATACATTGAATGTCGTCTTCTTAACTCTTACTCATCGTGGATGCTGTGGATGTGCTTTCCGGCTGATAGTCATGACACTTTTGAACAACGTTTTGAAACATGACGAGCAAATTCAGATCATAATTGTTCCGTCGTTGAGAGACGCTAACCACGAATACATGTACCCGCAGCCCCCACTGAGCAAAAGCAAAGCGTGCGAAGCGTTCGAAGTTGCCGAACATGCTAAGGTTTGTTTTATCTTTTTATGAAGTATTTGGTTTATGGGTGTAACACTTGTGTAACTTTCATTATAGCGCGTGCACTTTATGTCAAACCCTACCACGTTCTCAATCAATGCAATTGTGTTTGGGATATCTACTTTAGACATTATTGTACAATTGAGCTCAAATGAGCTGTACAGGTCCGTCCACTTGTACATTGTTCATTATAATTTATCCCATGACAACATTTTCTGCCACCAGGAGAGCCCAAGGTCGTGATCATCATCGTCTTCTCCGCCTTTGCGAACAAGTTGTTGAACAGCGAAGGTTTGAGGTTCATTATCATATGTACTCATATCGAGCTCTTCAGGCTAATTTATCCCTCGTTTACAGCTTTTATCCGATATTTCCTCCGCCACCTAGTGGTGAAGCGCCAGTTGATTTGCGGTATATGAAGCAATTTCAATTTGAGCAGACCCCTGACATTCTGCTGCTCCCCTCAATTCTCAATCGGTTTTGTGGGGTACGCGTCACTATTGAAGTTTCGCTGGCTAGCACTAACTTTTATTTCATCTTACTACAGCGCGTTTACGACTCAGTTGCCATAAATCCCGGCCAGCTTTGCAAAGGAGACTCCGGTGGCTCCTTTGCTCACATAACCATTCTTCCTCTACCGAATGAGAAAATTGAGAGTGCGGGTAATGATATGTGCGCCCATTCTGTACCAGACCGAACGATTGTCGAAATAAAGCGTATATAGAGTAATATACTTCTTTTGCACATGATGTAGTCGAAATATTACATATATCAACAGGTTGAAGTATCTGTTTCTTGTAACAAAGATGTGTGTTTACTATTACAGGCGAGTATTTTTCGAACTTTTCGCGTCAAACGGAACGTTTCACCATCTTACAACAAAAACTAAACGCGGTATTCACAAAAACTTGTAGCGTATTCTGAAGAGTACATCAGATTCTGAAAAGAGGATAGTTCACCCGTGTATCGCCGTTCGGACCCTGTAAGCATGAAAGCTGCTCATCTGATATAATCTTCGAATTCAATTTTGGAAGAGGCGAATGTGTGAGTTTTTTGCCTCGAAGCTCTACAAGTTTTTGGCAAGAAGGCTCATTCTTTTATGTTAACGCGGTTTGAGCAGTGAAATTATGGCTTTATGTGGTGTACACTGTAGCCGTTTTACTTAAAACGTCCAGTGAAAAGATTGAAATTGACGCAACCTGATGGAGCACTGGTTTCAATACAGTTTGGCAGATGTTTACAAATCTAGCCGGGTTTCATCCGTGCGCGACTGTGAAGACATTCAGCAAGCTAATAACAAGGAGAAGTCAAATGATACTGATAAAAAGCGGAGTCGACTTTTCGAGATAACAGAAAAATCGATCGTGAGGAAAGAACTTGCGTCAACATTTTAGCCGCTCAATTAAAATACTTTGTCCGTTCACCGATTCTATCAGCCTTAAAAACTTGTTCAAAACTCGTTGAAAATCAAGCGATCACAGATATACATCGATAACCTTATCATTCGGTGCTTACTATAGTATGAGAGGCATTCGCTTGCGACAGGCAGTATGTGGAGAGATTGCTTGATAAGTCTATGGGACAAAGTGGCATTGACTAACTTTAAAAGCATGTATAGATTAGCATTACTTAAAAATTGGCTCCCAAATTTGCATAAACACTGAGGATAGTGCATGTTCTAATGAGATTATGCACCAATTCTCAAACTGCCGGCTACTTCTCAAGTTGTCTCTTTGAATGAAAGAAATTACCAATCCGTGAAATCGGAATTCACGGAAAGTGGGGCGATGGATGCGCCCACATACTGTAGTCGTAGCCGCTGCTGCCGATCCGGACGACGAGCCGAATGAAGTTATATACTGTTGATATTGCACATGCCGAGATGGTCCCGACAATGCCTGAGCTGCTGGGTTAAGAAGCTCGTTTGGCGCGATAAAGCAGGGGCTGATGTTATCCGCAATCGCATCAAGATGCCCAAGCCGCATGTGCTTGGCAGAGGGTCAATCGGGTGCCCTATACTGCCGGGCCTGGATGGTCGTTTGTCGTCTCACGCATCGAAAAAGCGCAGTCATATTGTAACCCTACACGCAATTCGACATTGCGATCGACACGCGAAGCAATTTTGCAAGGCCTCCAGTGCAGAAGATGAAGGCATCGTTGACTGCATCACACCACGACATCAAAGCTGAACGACGAGTTTGCGGTTGGTGTAATGGGCTACACTAGCCATTACATGAATGTACCTTCTGTATGCATTGTGGGAATTTGTAAAAAAAGATTACAGTATGGTGTTCTCAAATGCATTTGTGACATCTTATACGAAGATACAAGCGTTCTGTGTGATACAGCATGCTGATTCCTACATTGGGATATGTACTGATAACGAGACCGACATGTCTCTGTCTTTAAAAGTTGGTAGCGTAAGCCAGTCACTTTTACTGATACATTCCAGTAAAGATAAAGCTAAAGCCTTTCGGAGCTCAAGCTTCGAACACCCAAGATCTTGTATAAGCTGAAGTTAAGGGGTCAACCTCAGTACACTTTTGCATTAATAACTCAGAAACCCAAGTAGAATCTGTAGCAGCCCTTGAGCTGTTTTGTATGTAGCTAGGAACCCATAACTCTTTTTTTTTAATTCAGTCGCGAATTTACCTGAAGATATCGATTCGTTCTCTTCTATCAGTCAGGACTGTCCTTCTCGAACCGCATCGGGAATCCCTTTCTCGTTGCACAAGCGTGTGCGATGTGTTCAAGGAACTGATTTGTGCAGCGCCCTCTTACAGTAGACGTATAGGATGTTTTAAATGTATTTACCTGTGAGAACGTCCAACACTTCGAACACGAAGACGCCGCCCAAAATATTCCAAAGCTTCTAGCAAGCTTCTTTGACATTTACCTGGACGCGTAAAATCTCCCTAGAAGCTTCAATACTTGACCAATTCAAAGAGGGCGCTGTTCACAACAGTCCTTTAAACACAACACACACGCTTGTGCGACGCGAATGCGATTACCGACGTGGTTGGAGAAGGACAGTCTCGACTGGAAAGAGAGAAGAACGAAATGATATCTTAAGGGTGAATTTGCGACTGATAAAAATTGAGACAAGGGCTCTAGCTACACACAAAACACCCCAAGGGCTCCTTCAGGTTCTACTGACAAATCTTGGGCTTCTGATTTATATATAAGCAAGGAGTTCTGAGGTGGAACTTCAACTTCAACTTATACAAGATCTTGATTATACGCTCAAAAAGCTTGAGCTTCAGCCTACTGGAAAGTATCCAGTAGAAGTGACTGGCTTACGCTACCCTCTTCGAAAGACAGAGACTCGTTACCAGTACAGAACCCCGTGAAGGAAGTATCACACAGAATGTTTGCCACATCGTAGAAAATGGCGCGTATGCGTTTAGAAACGATGCATACAGAAGGTACATAGATGCACCTGTAATGGCGAAGTGTAGCAAATTAAATGACTCGGAAACAAATTTAGACTCGGTTAATTATCGGTTCTTTACTATAGGGTAAAAACTGAATCTCAATAAGACCTGCGAAGTGAACATGATAAATGGTATACTCTCGACGTCACGGTGCGTGTACTTCCTCTCGAAAATGTGCTCATCTAAGCCGTTCATTTTACTGATAGCGTGACGTGATGACACAATTAATAGCTCTGTCGCCTTGACATACCGTACACCGAATTTATATTAGGCAAAGAAGGACAACCGATTTGCTATTCTCTGCAAGAGACATGGTGGCGGCATAAAATCTGGTCCAAATGGCTTAGCGCCAAGCAGGTGAATCTGGAACTTAACAGGAGCCAATATTTAGCAAGTAGCTGTTGGTTATGGGCTTCCCATTGACGCGATTATGATCATTGGCACCTGCATGAGTAAAGCGCATGACCAGGATTCGGAAGGGTCAGAATCGAAGAACACAAGGACTTTCATTTGCAGGTATAAGGGCCGCCTGTTTTGCTATGTGTAAATTATTTTTCAGATAAGATTAGCGAGAGGCCAGTCGTCATAATCTGGGCTGCGTGTGCGTGAAATTGTCCTTTTTACTTTTTGAGATAGCGGCGTTGACTAATCTACACCGTTTTTCTTATTTGCGAGATTTGACTATTGACTATGCTTGCAATAAAGTATTTCTGAGATTCGCCGGAACAGTGACACACTCGTCTTTGTCGTCAACCAGCAATTAAAGCTCAGCTGCTCGCAAGTGGTAGACAAGGATTTCCCCGTTATTTGCTCACTATGGGCAGGTGCGTCCTTATGCAGGATGCATTAAAACCAATACGACCATACAATTTAAAGTCGCCGTTGCATTGAGCATCCCCTGGGCTTTAGCCAGCGTATCCCATTTAGAATACTGATATCAGCAAAAGGAATCCTTATTTCTCATGGGCAGCTGATATTGCTCATCGAGTACTAAATAAGGTGCAACCGACCAGGATCCCACTCAGGAAGACGGGTTCACTACCGCCTTTGCGAGATGCTCTACCACCATTGCGGCGTTGAGAGCATCAGCTCTTGAATGTTGTCCGTTTTTATTTACTTTCCTTGTGGGAGGACACAACTTTCTTCTGCTGCCTTGAAATCTATTGTAGGGGATGCTTTTGATAAATATATATCAAGACTTTTTCGAGTGCATCAAGCTTTAGAGGGATAAAGCGGAAAAGTGATATCTCAATCTGTACTCCTGGAAACGTGTCAATATTGCAAATTTTAAATTCATTTCATAGATGAAGAAAACTTCTCGTCCGCGTCTCTTGATTTTCAATATGATCATCTGACTTGCTAGGATGAAAAACCAGGCTACCTACATGTTCAATCTTTTTACTTCCTTGCAATGCGACCGTGGTGTTCAAGAACAATTTTAAGAAATTAAATAGGAAGAAGAGTATCTGTTTTGCAGAAGTGCTTGTCTGAAAAGCGTGCTAAAAAAAGATTCACCGCATTGACGGTCCAAACATCGGCTTTCTTCGCTAACAGTTTATGTCAAGTAGCTCGCGCTACTGCTGTGCCATGTCTGAAAGGAATTTCGTTGTATATCTACCATTTGGTGAGTTTGGTCAGCCTACATTTGCGTCAATGCAAAAAGCTGCATCGTTCAAGTCGGTGATAACAACATTTTATGCATTGCATACACTTTAAACCCCAATCAGCTCATTTTTCGCCTTTTTATTTGAGAGTGTTTTGACTTTCCTTCAAATTGCGCTTTTCATAAGGTTAAAATAGTTCTTTAATTCGATAGCCGAAGCTCTCGCACAGATACCATGCAGTGTACTCGATGGCTCCGAAAGATCTTATCAAACATAAGACATTAATTTTAGATTTGGCCAGAGCCACCATGATGTTCATTTTTGCATACTTGAGCAGAAGCCGTAGAGTTAATGGAATTGATTTCAACTTCAACTTACACGAGAATGAGGACCAGCAAGAGTATACCAATGAGAATTCTTAACAATCAATGAAAAAATCGTTGCTTTTCGCTCAAGACCTGAATTAGCATCCAATCAAGTCATTCTTCGTATGTATCAGCTAATGCTCCTTAAACACGACAATCGTTGCCTTTGTTGTGTTTCTGATTCAGATGTAGCCCAATGTGCAGCTATTGCATTTGTTCCATCAGCAGTGTGCTCTACATGCGCTTGTATGGATGCATAGTATGGTGAGTCTGGCAAGTTGACACGATCTCAAACCCTTTAAGCCACTCGACCTCTTCAGTACAAGGTTTCTTGATTGCATTATTATCAACCCCTGCAATGATGTCGATCATGTTTACAGCTGCCAAAACGATTTCACCGTAAGACACCATACAGTCTTGGTCGGTAGCGACAAGCGCCGACAGCCGTGATTTGAGTTTCACTGGATTCAGCGTTTCACGAATGACCTCGAGCGGTACTTTACCATCACTATACAAATCCATGCTCTGCATTTGTTCGAGCAAAATCTTCTTCCGGCTCAAGCTTACGTTGTTACCCTTGCGTTTGCAAATGATTGCCGGTACAGCGAGGAAACATACTTGTCACTGAGATCAATGAGTCACACTACTCGCAGCTGCATCTTACAATGCTCCATCAAACGTAATGGTTCAAAAACTGGAAAAACGCAAGTTCTTCTCAACCGTAAAGCCACACACTCGCTGGGATCGATACGGAGGTAAAAGAATAGTCAGGCCACAACCTCGGCAGCACGCATGAACTTGCTGAAGGTGGCTATCATGTAAGCCTTACCGTCTCGGCCGCTGGCGAGCTATATCTGTCCAAGAGGCTGCAATGTTGTCAACACTACAAGATCAAATTTGATCATATTCTGAAAGTACTTTTCTTAGGGGACTGACCAACTAAAGACAATGAGTAAGTGCAATCATACCTCGTAAAATTTATTACCGTTAGATACTTTAATATCGATACTTCTGTTACCATGCTGGACATTTTCCGTTAGTGTCATACTTTCGAGTCTTTCGAGCCGGATACAATGAGTGGCCAGCTGTGGTTGACACTCTCGAAAATCCTCCGTTTGAGGCAGAGCTTCGGCTCTGGAGACATCGGTTATTATGTCAGTAGCTCGGCCTTCCAGGGTCACTAGTTGTCGAATGAGCCTGACGACGCAACGGTCTCAACGCGTCCTCGCAATCGACAGCTTCTCACGGGCTCCTGCCACAGGCGTCTGGTTCTATCGAGTGGACGTATCCATATGTCAGAAAGAGCTTTCTGTACCACATATCGATGAAGGCGACAGCGAAGGCGCGGACGATAGATACTGCGAGACAATGTCACTGTCAGATGCATCAGACAGTGAGCACTACTCTATTTTAAGGCGGTACAATGACTTTTTGAAATTGTACGAGCAAGTTTGCCTCATCGTCGCAGCATCCGAAGGAAACAGCCACAGTGTACCTCCATTTCCAACTAAAGAGATGTTGCCATCTCTAGTTGTTCTGCTGTGGCGCGTTTCTCCGTCAATGAGGATGCTCGAAGAGCGACGCGCCAAATTTGAGGCGCTACTGGTATGGATTGAAAATCATCCTACAGCTCGGAATTGCTCTGCATTCGTCGAGTTTCTTGGAAAACCTCCACAGACTAGAGAAGGTTATGTTAGCCTGAAAGGCTATACATCTCCTGATTGGTTATCGTCTCTGCGGCAAGTGACACGCAATGCAGAAGACCGTAAGCGTCGTGACTCCGGTGACAGCATTTCCATTCGATCACTGCCTGATCGATCGAACTCGGATGCCTACTCAGTCCTCAGCGTTTCCCGTCACCAACGATTCCAAGCAAAATACATGTCGACTTGTGTGCTGGGCAAGCGTCACAATTGCTCTCCTAACAAACATCGGCGCTATGAACCACCTTACAAGAAAAGGACGCTATTGGCTAATAACTCGAAGTTATCTTACGCCGATCAAGGATCGGTGAAGGAAAGGTGGACATAAAAAACTCTGTCACACAAAGGGTCCGCCGAGTGATGTCGGTTAATTATCAAAAAGAACAGGTCTTTCTGCTGTTCCTGGTCGTCTCGAAAAGGTTTACAGGCACTTTTAACGCAACTAATGCATCGAAGACGTCATAATCGAGGTCTGGCACTTCGTCCACTCATCTACTTCGTATTTTTTTCTTAATTCGCATGCAAAGCAAAGCGATAACCTTCATCCGTCCCTGCTTCTCGCTCCATCTGAAGTAAGGGCGTTGGTGGGGTATGATGTTGAAATCAACTGATTGCTCTGGACTTGTAATATTGATATTCCCTGTAAGTGTTCTTGCGTGAGCATGGTCATCTTAAAACATTCCCTCTGTCACAGCACCTCGAATTGCTTACCCTTTAGGAAAACATTGGCGCCGAAAATTCATCGGGCGATTTTCTTCAACTCAGCTATCTGAAAACACGTATTCAACCGACAGTTCAATTGCGTTGTATTTTCCCACACAGATTAAATTATCCGATTCCTGTTCAAGATCTCTTTCATCAATTGGGCTGAAACTTATACCCGCCACTTGGGCAAACGCAAAGTTTCCAGTTGCGCTGACCCTTGCACTTTCTGCATGGTCGTTTTGGTGGCAATTTTGAAGCTGATGTATGCGTGGCCTTTTCCAGCTAACTCTCATTGCAACCGTTAAGACCGCAGGGAGATGCTGCTTATAATGTCAGCGTCTGAACACCGACTTGCTTGACGTTAGGAGCTCTTCTTTCAATGCACACCTTTCATGCTTGCGCCAACCAAAAATGCGACGCTATCTTATCAAAGACTCCAATATCTACAATACCTTTATATCTGTGAAGGACTGGTCAAGTATGTCAAGCTTCGACGGCGTGTTACTCACGTAAACTATTTGAGTATAAAGTTTAAAGATTCCACAAGTTTAAACTGTTAAAGATTGCAATACAACCTGTTCGCGCAGCAAATTACCTACAGCACGTGCTGCGGGGCTTGTACTGTAATCTTGTGTACTCAAGCCTCACACACATACTTGTATATAATTTACGAGTAAATTGGTATTCACTACAAGTGGGACGCGTGGACCTCTCGTTGCACGTAAAGCGAAAAGGTCAGTTTGAGTATAAGGGATACTGTCAGCGTCGACAGCGTCTATGACGCCACCGTCGACGACGGATGATTCATTTCGACCCAGACCGCTCATGGTGAGCGTTAAGCCCTCTGGGGGTAAGGATGGAAAGAATCTCCTTCTCTGAGTGAGAGAGGCCAAGATGGCTATGGCATACTCGATGCTCCAAAACGAGCAACATCGCGTGGCGCTAGCTATCTACAGGCTCGGGGTCCGATCGCGAGAATTGGCACTAACGTGCGGTGCTTCGGTTAGAGCTGCGTCCCCCTCGCTTGAATCTTACCATCTTACGGCTGTGGAAAGGAACTACCTAGTCCACAACAAGGAATTACTTGCGATGAAGTATACACTTGTCAGGTTCAGGGTGCACCTGCAAGCCTCAAAGCTGTTTGTGATCGACACAGATCATGCGTCATTACGCACTGCGGCTCAGCCGACTCACCTCTCGCAGAGGATTGCCAGGTGACTCTCATTCTATGCCGGATATAACTTTGAGGTGAGGTATAAGCTAGGAAAGCAGAATGCTTTGGCTGATGCGTCGTCACGCAGACCGGACTATGAGCTTGCTCATGTCACGATGGTGACGTCGTCAGTGACGGATCTGAATCGTGCCGCATACGCGGATGACATTATGTCTTTAGCGCTACTACAGGCTCTTAGAGCAAGGGTTTGAAAACTCGGACATGAATTGTCGGCGCGTTTGTGCGCACAGTTACACCAATATTTGTAGTGAAACGGGTTGCTTTTTAATAGCACCTATTCAATGGATACGCTACGATTGTGGTTCCTCACGATGAGGATTTGGAATACCGTAATCTCTATGAGGCCTATGACACCCCACTCAGTAACCATCTCGGTCGTGAGAGGACGTATGGCTCGGTAAGCTGCCACTATTGTGGACTAAGCTGTAAAAATGGGCGAGCACATATGTGCGCACGTGTGAGACGTGTCGGAGAGTTAAACGCTCTCCAAATGCGGCGGTGCCGCTGGCTAGTCTACCGATTCCCTTCGGGTGTTGGCAGTTCATGAGTATGGACTTCGTGTTTGGCCTGCAGAAGGACTCAGCGAGCAACACGGGTGTGGTGGTCGTTGTGGACTGTTTGAACAAGATGGCTCATCTGGCGGTGGTACTGGACATGTGGGTACGGCGAGGCTGTTTGTCGATCGTGTCTTTCGACAACATAAATCCCCGGAGTCAATTGTCTCTATGAGAGGTCCGCACTTTACTAGAAGATTTGGTCACACTCTTCAGGGTGCTGGACACCAAGTTGACCATGTCAACATCGAGCTATCCGCAGACCGATGGTCAAACTGAGCGCGTGACGCGTCGCTGAAGACATTCTTCGCAGCGTCTGCGCTGTGACGCCAAAGCGCCAGAACACCATGCTGCCACACGTAGAGTTTGTTCTGTACAATGCAGTGCATTCATCTACCGACTACACGCCGTTCTACGTGAACAGACTTCTTAATCATCGCGTTCGCTGACGCCGCCATCTCATGGCTCAGAGCTTGGTGGGGGAGGAATCGCCAAACGGCTAGCTCATGTCAGTCTCCGCACTGTCTGTAAAGAAGTTGGTGACTTCCTGTCTACCAGACTGAGTGTCCTACGACACGTTCGCGATGCGATGGCCGAAAGCCAAGACATGCAGAAAGAATATACAGGTGGAAGATGCAGAAAAAATGCGGAAAACTTCGACGTCGGAGACCTGGTTGGATTAAATGCTAAGAAGATTTCTACACATGCAGTCTCTGCTGTCTTTAAGATAAATCTCCGTCCACGGTTTATTGGACCTTTGAAGGTCGTGGCCAAGCGAGGTTTTGCGTATACGCTGAACTTTTCCAGAAGGATGCACACTCACCCGTTGTTTTATGTGGGCTTGCTTAAGCTGTACCAGGATTCTTCGCAAGTGAACGCGGAAGCGTTAGCACTGGGGCGGCGCCTAAAGGCGCTCGGCCACCTAGAAGATGAGTCAGCAACTGGTTCTGAGTACGGAGTGCAGCCATTTTCGTTTCCAGCGGCGCAAGGCGCTTAACCGTCGCACGAAGTGACGTATTCGTCTGCTCGACGGCTAAGAGCCCTCCGACACAGCGCGATAATCATCAATCAGTGCACAAAATGCTTCTGACCCTCGCAGTCTTCCGCACAGCGGTAAGCGACCTCTGAAAGATGCTCGACAGAGTGCTGATGATGACGGACTTTCCCATCCATATCTCGAAAAGCATCGCGAGACACCAGACAGCGATCGACCAAGTCGGCATCGCCTGCCGCCGACTCTTCTCCAGTAAAGGCTTCCA